ACAAGGAGGTGGGGGGGGGGGGGGGTTTGCAGTGATTGGGGAAGTTCCACATAGTTGGGTCTGTCTTGGCGTGTGGCATTTCGATAGTTGATGGCAAGAGAATTTCCAATATACAGTTGCTATCGGAAAGGCTTGCAAATTGAAACCATGAGATCCCTCCGCACATTAAGGCTTCAGTTTAGAAGGACAATTAATCATCATGAGGTAACAGATTTTCGAAATAAGAAAGGCAGCAGTGATTTTCAGGGTATTTAGCACATTGCATTAATCCTTAATTTAAGGTTCTGTACTTGAATTCTCAACTTCTAAATTACATTCCTTTCAATGCTAAAAGCAAAATGTCTAGTGTAGAAACACTATTGTCGTCTCTTCTAAATGTGTTTATTTAACAGTGTCAAATTAAGTTGACTGCCGTCTTCGGAATTTGCAATGTATTTTCGTTAATGGAAATTGAATTTCCATGTAAGTATGCAAACAAAATAACTTTTACAGTTTACGTAAACAGCAATTTTTTAAACGGTTTTAGGATATCAATATTATAGACACCAATTAATCGGCTCTCGTGAAATTTGTTGTGAACATCTTTATTATTTTTTAAACTTCTTGGTACCAACATGGCGACGCTGCAAACGTGTGTGATGTGAATGACACTGCCATCATTCCGTGCAATATTGTGACGTTTTCGTGTGGTTTATATTCTTGGAAAGTGTTGAACTTTTATTGATAAATTCTTTATTCCCTCTGAGTCAATGACAATTTTCAGACGATAGAGCAGCACGTAGGATGTGTGGAATTGCTACTTACTGCAAAGATTCTTGGGTTCTCGCTTTCTTGCTTTTCACGTAGACAACAGATGTTACAGCAATCACTACAACGATCATGACACACGCACAGCCGACAGCTACGTAGAAGGTACCGCTAGACGTCACTAGCGAGCCTGGATCCAGACGTATTGAGTCATTTCGTGGAGTTGCGTCTTCTGAAAACATAAATATAGAATTTCGTCAACACAATCAGAAACAGAGCTCGATTTCCTGTACTAAATTTCAGATAACATTTTTCTGTATCTGCTTAGGTTAATGCGTAATTCTAAAATTACTTTGCCCAGTTCAAAACATCAAATAATTACATAACTGATGTACGTATTCAACAACCGAGTACCTGACTTGACTGACGCCGTGGTATAAGGTCAGTCGTGAGCAGGCAACAGCTTTCAGGTCGAATATCATCAAGAAATATGTGAAACCAGAAAATTTGAAACTATCATCACACAAGTTTACTATCATTCCCTTTTTTAGTATGCAGCTTCAACAGGTATTTCTGTGTTGTGAAGATAAAGGTGAAAGTTGTACGTGTGGTTAATATGTGCCACGCCAAGGGTGAAATGAGACGCAAATCGCTGCACTCTTAACCTACACACTAGATGGAGGCTAGTGGTGAGCTTCATGCTCTCGTGACTTTGTGGAAGAATTTGATAGGTGGCGTCTTGATGAGCTACAGAACCTGTCCAGATATAGTAATGGCGACGAGGTAAGTCTCTTCCCTGCCGGGAATCTGACCAGGGTTGTACAGTCCTTAGCCAATCTAATATCCTGGCTCATTTTGTTTCTGTGAGATCAATTTTAATACCACGCTTATTAATTTTAATATTATTTTCTCTTCTCTTTCCGCTAACATATTCCTTGATTTAATAACCCTAATATTATTAGCTTAATTAGAAACATGAAGTTCATCATTGTTTATTTTTGCCCATCTTCTTGTCGCTTACTCGTCCATCCATATCCTGATGATCCGACATCGGACGGTGGCTGGAGGCCTACATAAACATGGGAAAAAGCATTTACACCTCAAAGAACATCCTGTAACATGGAGTTTGTCGAAGAGTGGAATGACCCTTGTGAGATTGGTCTCTGAGTTGTTTTCCCGAATAGAACTTTGCAGCGTTACACCCATTTCCTGCCTGTCAATAATCGATAACTATCGATGTCTCGATCTATATTTCGCCTACCCTGACGTGAGACAGAACGTCATTGACGTAAACCTGTTCAATTTTTTTGTCACTTGTTTAACTTCTGTCAACCCGCAAGATTTTTCCTTTTTACAGCAACGTTTTCTAGTATTGTCAGTCAGATGTCTGTTTTGAAAGCAACACGGACTGAGAAAGGACGTTGGAATCGGTGACAGGGCGCATGACTGAAAAAAGTTTCCAATAGAACGACGATTAAATGTCAAGTCTCGCTACGTCGTAGAGAAGCGTAAGGGGTTGGACGTTCCGTAAATGTGACTGCATTACGTAGACTTTGATTATATGCAAAGAGTGATCTGCCCGACGCTACGACTGTCTTAACCTCAGAGGAGAGCCACCCAGCTGTGTGTTCCCAGGGACGATTTGGGCATGATAACAAAGAGAGGACCAGCGACGGGAATTGAACTCTGGCTGTTTGCTTTGTGGCCTTACTGACTGAGATATCCTGTCTTGTATAGTGAATCATGCGTGTAGCAAACTTTCTTTACACTGATACTGAATCAGCTGGTCAAGGAATTTGCCTTCAGTGGAATTGGAAGGTTCATTACCATATTCACAAGTAACCACAACTGGATTCTGTCCCGAATTTACGTACAATGTTGCAGAAATAATGATCACACAGCATAGAATTAAAAATTTACTTGTTCTTGTCTTCAGTTGAATATGTACCACAACGGAAAATGCTTCGAATAAAAATTGCAAGAATTAGATCTAATCTAATCGTACAAGAACATTTATGAAGTTCGATTTAGATTTAATTTAAAGTAGCAGTTGAGTTTGATAGGTTAGATCTAAAAATTAAATTATCCTGGGGGTTGTATTTGACCGATAAAATTGAAATTCCGGACAACTTTTAATATAGACCGTCAATACCATATTAATTAAAATCCGTTTGTTTTCAAACTTATAACATGCACACAGAAGATCGTTCGATCGATCAAACAAATGAACGAACAAAAACGACTTCTCTGTTACTAACAAAATCGGCTAGGAGAATTTAAAGTAAATCAAGAAACTTACTATTCTGAGATAGAGGCGGTCGAGTGTGTTCCGGGTCCCCTGCCGTCTTTCCATCACTTTCCTTTCTATTCCATCCTGACATTTGACATTGGGGGAGGGGGGAGGATCAAGCATTGGCTTCCCGCCAGGACAGCCAGGAGTCGCGCGTGGACGCAAAAATAGTCTCAGAAACGACTTCTTTTATATACTATATAATATGAAATATCCACAAAGAAATACGGTCCGGGGAAATGTATTTTTTCTTCTTGTTGTTGATTTTGAATAAACTTTGGGAAATTGAAGTTTCTAACTCATTCTATGTAGGGAGTGATTTTATGTATGTTTGCCAACTTGAAAACGACCAATTTCATTGTAACATGTAAGAGACGTTGGTGTAAGCAGCAAGGACTAACATGGGAAGGATATGTAAGTTATGAATTCAAAGTACTCTGGTCTCAGGTACGCTGGATTTCAGTTTGATCTTTTCACAGTTGCAAATCTACTAACTGTTTACAGATCTACTCAATATTAATTATTGGATTATCGGTTAGTTAACGTCGCTATGTTAATTGTAGTGTTTGTACCCTTTAAATGATATGAGCGTGTAATCACGTTCGGTGAATTTGAAAGGATTCTGGCCAGGAAGAGTTCTAGCCTGTTGCAAGGTACTATCTCGGAGTTTACCAGAAAACATTAACATTTTTTTTTGGATAATCGTTTTCCCGGGTGAGACTCGAACTGAGTGCATTCTGAATATAGGTCAGAACTGTCATCTTTTAACCTAACTTTCTCGGTGATAATCAACAGCAGAGGCAGTACACAAGGCAAAGTAATGTATTTTGTTGCCGACAGATTTTATCAGTATCAGTTCCAAAAATATTTTAATCCACTCGATCTTAATTATTATAAAGTTTGCAACTGCGGAAAGTTACGTGTTAATATGTAGGACACACTGTACACAGCCGCAGAGGTTTGCATGTTGGCAGCTACGAAGTTAAAACAAATGACAAAATATTACCAACATTTAAGGTCTAATTATTCAGAATAAAAATTAAATTCAGCGACAAATGGCTAGCGATATCAACCATTCTCGTGCTACACTCTTGATGTCTCGTTTAGATACACCAGCGTTCTAAGGTTTCTTTCTTGTAGATTACCTGTGAAATAAACTTGCCCCGTCGTCTCTGAACGTTCACAGCCAACTGTTCGTTGGTTAATATAATTTTTACATTACTATTCAAATATTTATATATATATATATATTTATTTATATATATAGTATTTAGATTCACAAACTGAGTAAAATTTTCTATGTGAACTTAGCATCCATTTCTTAAATAAAATTTCTCTTTTCCCACTTCTGACAGCGCTAAACCACTTACCGACGACGGTGAGAAAAATGGATCTAGTGAGCGGAACATAGAAACGCACTAAGATACTTTGCGGCTGAAAGGTAAGTGAATGATATTACAGTCACATTCACTAAATTACATTCTTGTGAGTGAAAAATATGAGAATCGATGGATGGAATTTTGAATCTCTTGGGCTGCCTTCGGTTGAAATCACGCATCCCTCCCTTGTTTCCATCATCTTTATCTAAGTAAAGAAGTATTTTGCGAGCACAAATTGTCAGTAGCACTGAGATGTGGGCCTTATTATGACATAAGAATACTTCATAGTGACAGTTATTCAGCCTTCTCTTTCGAATATGGCATTCTTCCGTTGTGGGTTGTCTTTCTAACCTGACACGTGCTGGTAAATTTCGTGGGCACAGCACGCAGACTTGAATGTGCCAATGCTGGATGTAACAGCTATTATGTTCTTACAAACTGTTACTCAATAGGGATTTTGTTATACTTTTTCGCATGAAGCTAATTTTATCAAAATATTTCGTGTTGGGGAATTAGGGGGAACACTTGTTTGAGGAGGAAATTACTTATTAACGATGAGCTAGCTTATAAGGAAACATTGGCATTTATTGAATCTGTTGGTTTGGGTTAACAATGTTGGACATGACTTCCTGATATTTTATCCAATTCTTAATATATTTACATCCGTTTTAGCATTTTATATTCTGTACTTTCATTTTAAACTATACTTCTCTCATCTTAACTAACCCCCCCCCCCCCCCCCCAACAAAAAGTTTATGACTTCTTGCAAGGCAACCATGAATTGCACTAATACTGCAGAATTATGGAATATAGGAGAATGTGTGAATGAATGAAACTAAGTTTTATGACCCAAAAAGTAGGAATTGAGATTTTATGATATGTTCTTTGCATAAAATCAACATCTATGATGTAGAAGATGGTTCAATAAAATCTTCCCGGGCAGTCAGCCGCGTCTCTTAGTTACACTTAGGACCAACGTTTCGAGAATAATCTCCGTCTCCATCATCAGGGTTTTGATGTCATCAAAACCCTGATTGCCCGATATTTTATTGAGTTTATTCGCCGCGAAAACTTCAAATCGTAGAAAAGAGCGTTTGTTATTTTGTCCATCCGTCTGTCTGCGTCTTTCGTATTCAAGACCATTGAAAAGAATTAAGTGTAAACTGATATTGGCTGTGCGATCTAAAGCTTTCAGGCGAACTTCATTTTGGTCTCCAACGGTCCACTGTAGTTTGCATTTTATACAGAAGGTTTAGACTTGAGGTTCTGACGTCGGCGAATATGAAGATAACTGTCTTCTGAGTCGTTCTCCCGTGTAGTCTGGTAGACGTATACTGACGTTTCAGAGGTGCTTACTGTATCAATCGTCATTGGTGGAAGGAAGTATCTCTGAAACGTCGGCGAACTTCTACCAGACTTCACGGCGCAACAACCCAGAGGACAGCTGTCTTCATACTCACCGCCATGAGAACCTGGAGTTTTGATATTGCAGCTGTGCTCAACAATGCAAACTCCGATCAACTATGAAAACGCAAATTAAAGGACACACTATCTTTTTTATAA